TCAGCAGGATGTGACAGGATCATGCTTAGATGCCTAATATGTGGAATAGGTTCTAGCCCCTAATGTTCATGATGGACTGACTGGTATGGAAATAAATGTTCTCTGAACTGAAATATTTCCTTGGTTAGCATCCTCATTGCAAACTTAAGTATACAACAAGGGGAAGAACAGCTAGAAAGTGCATGTGAGCTGAGGTTGCATGCGTCATTTCTCATCCTCTCGGGCTCAGTTCAAGTATACTATCCAGTTTCCAGGCTTTTGATCTTGTGTGTGTGAATTCAAAGCCTGGGGTGAAGAGCGTTTGAAAATAGTTTTCTGCAGGTTCCACATAAAGATTAATCTGTTTTGAAGAAATTCTTAACTTCAGCATTAGCCGTGGAAAATCAAGTGTAGGAAAGCAGACTGCGCTGCTATGTCAGTGTGGACAAGACAGCCTCATCAGTCTCTTCTCTCATTTCCCATCCCCAACTGTTGACAAAATATTTTATGTGAAGGCTTCAAAACTGAAACGTGTAAATGTTATAAAGGAGCAGTTTCAAAGGTCTAAGTCTACATAGATCTTTAGTAACTGAAGTACTTTTTTTGGCTTAAAAAAATTGGTTTCTTAGCGCCTTGGGTTGTATAGAAAGTTCCTTTTGTTAAATCCACATGCTGTCAGCCCAGCAAACTGTCATGCACTTTTCATGATGTTTCCAGGTAAAATACCCCTCAGACTTCAGAATCTCTCATTTTTATTTTGTATCTGCAATTATATTCTCAACGTTTATTGTACACACACGTACACATGTGTAATGCAGTAAGCCCCCTCCCCCACACACTCTTACTCTTTAATATTGCATTTTGAATAAGTGATAAATCTCTCTAGAACATGTTGTGTGATGTGGTCTGTCGTTGGGAGGCTATGCCAAGAAAATGTTGAAAGATGATGTGCCTTTCTTTTAACTGATTGGTTTGTGGAGAAGTGACTACTAACTAGTTAAAATTTAAAGGAAATTGTAGGAGAGGTGTTGCTTCTGAATAATCTGTTGCATCTTCTTGCAGCTATATACCATGCTCAGAAAGAATACACGTGGCAGTAACAGAAATGGCAGCTTTGTTCCCAAAAGTAAGTATTTTTTAGTGCTTCCACAATGGTAATATTTCTCAAATGTCTTTTGTGCTCAATCTCACTAATCACTGTTTTGTAGAAATGGAACCTTTGGGGGGGAAAAGCTTATACGTGGAATGAATTAAATGCTTCTGCTGGGACAGGAGTCATCTTTGCATTGATTTGGTTCAAGAAATCTATAAAGAAATCTCGTCATCCCTTGGGGCGCTCTGGTGAACAAACGTTCCCCCAGATACTGGTGGTCCCCCCTGATAAACTTGTAGGTGGCCATCAGATCACCCCTGAGCCTGCGCTTTTCCAGGCTAAAGAGCCCCAGGGCTCTCAGCCTGTCATCGTAGGGTCTGCTTCCCTGACCTCTGATCATGCGCGTGGCTCTTCTCTGGACTCTCTCAAGCTTCTCCACATCCTTTTTGAATTGTGGAGCCCAAAACTGGAAGCA